CGGGCTGCGCCTCCTTTGCTGCCCCCAGCCAGGGCAGGTGTGCGCACCCGGAGAGAGGCGCGGCGGGAGGGTGTCTGCGCCCCAGTCCGGGGCCGTACCCCGCGCCCCGGCCCTCACACTCAGCCCTCAGACTCGCCCCGTATGCAGGTGTCCAGTCCCCAACCCAGACAGGCCTCACCCAGCGACACTGGCGCGCTACGAAGGGACGCACTCACAGGCCTGTCGGCACCCGACCTCCCACAGAGACCCTCGTATTCACACATGCTCCCACAGAGAAGCTCAAACAGGCACCCACACCTACACACGCACTTTGCAAGAGGCACCGCAGGCCCCGGGCAGATGCACCCACAGACTCCCTCCCTCCCAGACTGACAAATCCACGGACACACACAGACTCGCACAGAGGCTGGCAAGGGTAGATATGCTGAAAATGATACCCTCAGACTCACACACAGAGACCTGGGGACACACTCAGGGTGACAGGGAGGTCACCCTTGGCACTGGCCTCCCACACAGGGAAACCCTCAGGCCTCACAAAACCCCACGGAAATTCATACAGGTGCACACACACTCACTGACACCCTAGAATCCAGACACACAGCCCTGCGCTCAGATGATCAAACAATCCCAGACCAGCACCCAGATAACTGGTCCTCCCTTCCCCTATGATGCTCTCAGCATTGTCAGACACTGAAAGACCGTCTCAGATCCACTTCATTGGCACACGCTCACACCACGATGTGGCCACAGACTCATCACCCACAGTGAAGGACACATTCTGATGCGCTGACACCCTCAGATTCAACATGCAGACACTGAGACACACTTGGGCAGGCTCACACTCTCAGACACTCCCGCATACCCACCCACAGTGACCCACAGTCCACACACACACGGGCTCAGTAGCTCAAAGCCCCAGAATAAGCAGAGACAAACGTCATCAGGAACCTCTACACCCCTTGGCCTTGACCAGGACCTGAGGATCCCCACCCCTCTAGTCAGGCCCTGGCTGCTCCCACATTCTCTTTATGAAGTAGCCTGATCAGGTGGAAAGAGTTCAGGCCTCAGAAGAGTGCAGCTCAGAGTTTCAATCTCAGGCACCATCTTTCCGGGTGGCCTAGGGCAAAACCCTTCCTCACCTATTTATTTCCTCACCAGTGCAATGGGGGACAGGAACCCTCCAATTGGGATGGTCAGGAGGATTCAGTAAGATATGGGTATTAGTTTTCTATTGCTGTGTAACAAACTAAGCAACTTAAAAACAATACCCATTTATTAGTTTACAATTCTGTATGTGGGTCAGAAGTCTGGGCAGCCTGAGCTGGGTTCTCTGCACAGGGCCTAACAAGATATTTTCCAAACTGGGCTCTTCTGTGCAAGCTGTGGAGAAGATTCTGCTTCTGAGATCATCCAGAAGGTTGTTGGCAGGATTCAGTTCCTTGTGGTTGCAGGACTGAGATCCCATTTTCTAGCTGACTGTCAGCCAGGAGGAGTCGACCTCAGCTCCTGTGAGTGGTTTTCTGGTCCTTGCATGTGGCGCCCCCCACTTTCAAGGCAGTTAGGATGTTAAGCTCTTCTCATCTTTTTTTTTTATTTATTATTTATTATTTATTTATTTTTACCAAAGCTAACTTTAATTTGTCCAGAAGCTCCACAGAGCATTGTGAAGCTGTTTCTTGGAGGAAAGCCACGAGTCCACAGTGCACAGGGCCAAGGGGCCTCTAGAAGTTCTCCAGCAGGCCCAGGATGTGCTTCTGCTCGTTCTCCCGGAACTCTGGGCTCCGGCCGTCCCCGATGTTCTCTGCATACTCCTTGATGATGTGCCTGACAATTTTGATGGAGCTTCCTCGCATGTTCAGGATCTGGTGGACCCTCTGGCGAATCTGGGGGACGTTGGCATTGCAGATCTCAGCCATGATGTAGCAGATTTGCTGGAGAACAAAGAGCCCTGCGTCCAGGCGCCGGAGGTAGAACTCATCCTCAGTGTCATTGTCTATGATCTCCCCATGCCGGACCAGGTCGTGTTTTTCCCCTTCAGTCTTCTTGTCTGATAGCTGCATTGCACTCATATATTTAAAATGCAACTCCATTAGTCTATCAACCTTTTCACTGTCATTTTCAGTGAATTTGTTCAGAAGCCGGGTTCGCTGCTGCCCTCTCAGGTTCCGCAGGAGGGAAGCCAGGATGGAACAGACATGCTCTTCGTGTTCCTTCTCAGTGGTTCCCACTTTCTTGATCTTCCTGGGAGATTTCATAAAGAGGGGAAAGATGGTTCGTAAGCCAAGAATGTCAACAAATTTATGACAGTTGTCGGTGCCCTCGGGCCCCATCATAGCATGGTCCAGCACTTTCAGGGCACTGCTCCGGGAGATCTTCTTTTCCCTGAGCATGAGATTCATCAGCTGGAGACCCTCACCCTTCAGGAAGCGCTCGCGATTGGAACTGAGCATTAGGCAGGAGCAGAGTGCATCGAACAGATTCTCCATCATCTCCTGCTCTTCAGCTGTGCGGGGATCGTGTCTTTTAAACACGGATAACTGCTGAAGAAGCACATCGATGCCATCCAGCTGCCCAAGCAATTCCCTGTTATCATCGTTGTCCTGGAGCAATATGGCCAGCACTTCACTGCAATACAGTTTGTTGGCATCGAAAGGCATCTTTGCCTTCAGCCTCTTCAACAGCCACTGCAGAAGGCCCTGCTGGGCACCGTCTGTACACATCTCGGGTCGGAACTCTGCCATGTTTTCTATAAGAGCCAGAGTGTTATGGACACCGTCTGCCTCCTCTTTCACAGATTCGTCCAGGCGCTCCAGATTCTGTACCAGCAGTGCTACTACAGGCCGGTCCACCAGAGCATCGATGAGGACTTCCGCTCCCTCCTCACTCTCATGGAGGGTGTCTATATCTGTCAGTTCTTGAAGCAGATCAACCACTGCTATGGACACATCTGTATTATCATGTCTAAGCAACCCGAGAAGTGACTGCATGGCATTCAGCTCCACCAGAAGGTGGTACAGGTCTGGCCTGGTGGCCACCACGTGCATTTCGTGAAGGATGTCATTTAGGTCCAGCTCAGATTCCAGGAACTTCTCCGGCTTGTCTGGAAACTTAATCCGCAATTCTTGGTTTTTGTACGATCTCTTTTCAAACGTGAGGATCATTTTCTTCACCGAGCTTTCATCCAGTGCCTCCTCCTCTCCGTCACGGTCAATTATCTGAAGCAGCCTTTTTTTGTCATCAACTGCTTCTTCTGCCACAGTCATTTCCTCTTCCCGATTGCGGCCATGCTCTCGAGTCCCCACTTGCTTCCAACACATTTTCAGCTCTTCCTCTTCATCGTCCCGGAAACGTTTTATGCCCCTGTTGGGCTGGTAACTCAGAAGTTCACCCACATCCATGGTCCCTGGCCCAGCCAACAACCGGTACACTCGTTCCCTCCACTTGCTCCTAGACTCGGTCTCCTTATCTTTTAAATCTCTCTAACTTCCCTTCTGCTTCCTAGCAGGAGAAAACTCTGCTTTTAAAGGGCTCATGTGATTGGATTAGGCCCACCCAGATAATCTCCCTTTGATGTATAGTGTAATATAATCACAGTAGTAATGTCTTTTGTGTGTGTGTTAATGTAAATTTTTTTAATTAATTATTTTTTATTAAATCATAGCTTTGTACATTGATGCATTTATGGGGTTCAGGGTACCACTTTGATATACAATGTGAAATGTTTACATTGAACTAAGTAGCCCATCCATCACAATTATACTCATTTCTTAATAGTTTTGAAATGTAAATTAATAGTTTTGAAATTGCATCATGCACATTAGGTGAGGTCCCCCCCAGCTCCCTCCTCCCATATCCCCCTTCCCCTCCCCTCTCTCTCCTCTTCCCTTCTACTTTCTGGACTATAGCTATGTTTTGCCATTCATATGAGTGTGTAGGTGATTATATATTGATTTCATCATAGTATTGAGTACATTGGATACTTTTTTTCCCATTCATGAGATACTTTAGTAAGAAGAATATGTTTCAGCTCCATTCAGGTAAACATAAAAGATGTGAAATCTCCATCTTTTTATGGCTGCATAGTATTCCTTGGTGTACGTATACCACAATTTGTTAATCCATTCATGGGTCAATGGGCACTTGGGCAGATAATCTCCCTTTGATGTATAATGTAATATAATCACAGTAGTAATATCTTATTACAGTCATGGTTTCTACCCACACTCAAAAAGGAAGGGATTATACAAAGGCAAGGATCGGGCAGCACCTGTGGCTCAGTGAGTGGCGCCAGCCCCATATACCAAGGGTGACGAGTTTGAACCCAGCCCTGGCCAAACTGCAACAACAAAACAAATAAAATAATAACATAAACAGAGGCAAGGATCTCATGTAAAATACCCACCACTGTGCCTGCACAAGGCAGGTGCCCCTGGGCCCAGGTCCTTTACCAGGAACCAGGCCAAGACCTTAAGAAAAGCCTGGTGAAATAGTTAAGCATGTTCCCGGTACAACTGTCCTCACTGTGGTAAAGGGCAGCTCCATTTTTCCCAGATGTTCATACCATACATCTTGGAGTCATCCTTG